TTTATAATTACAATATTATATATAAATTACAACGTTTGAATATATCAAACAAGATCTTGGCAGCTGATAAAGCACCCACTACTTAGTTCTTTCCCCCTTAAATCTCCTTTTCTCCTTGCATAATAACAACTTCCTTGAAAGCAAGACCCACCTTCCCTTCCAATTTACATATATATATATATATATATATATAGTCCTCTATATAACCCATCAACCCCAAGACTCAATTCACAAACAGAAGTTCAGTTAACGGTACTCAAAACCTCAACCAATATTCTCATCTTCAAATCTTTCCAAATGGGTTCTGTTGATCATCTTCTTTACTTTTCCATGTCTTAGTTGTGAACTGAATATTATACAAGCAAGAAACATAGAGCTCAAGTCCTCACATGGAGGAAACCTGTTTGTCAGATACTATCTTTCTACGGGAAACAATAACAACAGAATTCAGCTTAACAGCCAAGAAGTTCCCTGCTCAAAGTCCATCTGGAACGAGCGTTTCTCACTGGAATGTCAGGGGACTGAAGATGCCATTAACAAACTGAAGCAAGACACGATTACTTTGGAGCTCCGGTGGAGGAAAACAGTGCCGGTCTTGGGGAAGTTGGGGAAGTCAAGGGTGCTGGCCAGAGCTGAGATTCCATGGAGAATGGTTCTGGAGTCGCAGAATATGGAAATGGCGGAGAGGTGGGTGGTGATGGTGGCGATTGATGACCGGATTCTTAAAGGCGGGAAACCTCCTTTGCTGCAGATAGCAGTGAAAGTTGAAGAGAAGATGGTGGAAAGTGCAGAGAAGAAGAAAAAGAATAAGAGATATGATGAGGGTGAGTGTGGATGCAGAGATGGTGATAGGTGCAGTTGTGCAGAGTATGAATTATTTGCGTTAATGGAAGCTATGAACACACTTTAGGGAGAATGAATATATGTATACTATATACATATATTCTGCTGGGAAAGACCACTAACACTTGATATTGTTCGTTCCATTATATTTTTTGTGTTTGTTTCTTTGTCTTTATTGAGAAAATGTAGAGATATGACCATTCCAGTTTTGACCACTTTAACAATTGAATTTAAATAACTTGGAGATGTATCTATTGATCTTTCAATTTTTTTCTTTAGCGTAATTGAGTCTTTAATTTTAAAAAAGAAATAAACACGTACACCACTATATTAAAAGTTAACTATTCTTTTAAATTTTAATTACTATTTTGACGAAATTATCAATTAATATTCAAATTTTAATATTTGTTACAATTTAATCCTCATTTTTATTATAATTTGATCTCTACGTTTTTCATTTATTTCAAACACCTAGTACCTAATCTTTAACAAAAAAAGATTAATTTGCTTGGATACAAAAAGTATTTTTGCATCGAAACAAGTTTCAACATTTGACTTATATAAAAGATGTAAAAGTTGTCTTGTTTGGGAATAAAGAAAAAAATGCCAAATTAAAAAGTACTAAATTAAACCCTAATAATCGGGTTTTTTTTTCCTCTTCTTTTATTCAATTCATCTTGAACTCTCTAATCAGATTTATTGTCATTCTAAAAATACTAATATGAGATTATCATTTAAACAATACGAACATGTTCTATTTTTTCCTAACACATAAGAAAATGTTTGTCAATATTGCATGATCCTCGAGTGTGTGTGTGCCTAAAAATTTTTTATTTCTTTCTTTAAATTCCCAAAAAAAGTTTTAACAGTAATCTTAAATAAAAGAGAGCGCAGAGATAATTTATGAATAAAAATAATGAAGTATATAAAAAATATTGAGGCGTCACAGAAGAGTGATGAAAAATGAGATAAAATAAATATAAGTAAAAAATAGAAAGGGGGAATTCTAGGTCAATTAAGAAAAAAAAAATTAAGGCGACGCATTTTAGACTTTTTTTAGGACAATTAAAAAAAAAATTAAAAATGAGAAAGACTAAGATGGAGAGAGAGATAATAGCCCGAGTTTCAATTTTTTGGAAGGTTTTTCTTTGAAATTAAAAAAAAAAGTATAATATAATAAAATTAGAAGATCATATAATGTGAGAAAATAATAGGATAACATAGTATAAATATTGCTCGTCTCATTTTCTACTAACTTATTAGTTTGTATGAATAAAGAATGAATCAAAATATAAGTTTTTGGATATGTGGTTGATAAATACAAATATTTATGAATGTTTTTGTTTTTATTTATAATATTATTTTATTTTATTTTGTTTGAATTTTTTTTTTATAAAAAAAAAAGTGAAATAAATAGAAGAGGATGTACGATTTTTCTTTTAACTTTATTGATAAATAGTGAAAGAGAGAAGAAGAAGGATTTCTTTGTGGGTTTGAAAATGGAAGCCAAGAGAGAGGGTACAAATTCACCAAATGGAGTAAAAATAGAGAGAAGAACCAAACTATAGACATAAACGAGAAATAAAAATTTAAAATAAAAAAAGAGAAAATAATTTTTTTTTTTCGGCTATCCAACAAGACACACATTATTTTGTTTAACTATATTTTTATAAATTAATTTATTAATTTGTGCTAGTTTTTATATGAAAACTAAGAGAACTAATCTCACGTATTGTAAATTTATATATTAATCTTGTAAAAAAATTTATATTGAAATTATGTTTAGTAGAGTAAATATAATAAATTCCCAATTCCATTTATTTTGCCAATCTCGGATGAACTAAAAAGAATTTTGTTTTGTTTACCAGACTCTTTCCTTTTTTCTCAACGCCTACGAGTTTCTAATATTTTTACTTTTATATAAATTAATTTTTCATTAATACAAAATCAAATTGTACACTTTTTTTTTTTTGGTTAAAATGTTATGTTAATGCAAGAACAAACTAAATGTGATTTCTTCTGGAATATTTATGTATTATTGATTCAAAATAAGTAACAAAAGAAAAATGTAACACCCCAATTATTATTATTATTATTAGTATTATTTTATTTTGATTTTTTGTAATTTTTATATGAATATATGAATTTTTATATGGTTTTAATTTAGTTTAATTTAATTAAATAGAAATAGTAATAATAATAATAATAATAAGGGTTAAAATTATTTTAGGGATTTAATTGAAAGCAATTTTGGGAAAAATATGTGAAAATTTGGGTTTTAAGAGTATTTTTGAAAGAAAATTTGAAAACCGGGGTCAAAACGCAATTTAAAAAAATTGCGCCACGTCAGCTGTCCGGTCAGCAGTCTCGGCCAACCAGAATGCGCCACGTGGCAAAGACACTGACGCAGGAGGCCACGCGGAAGGGAGCCACGTGGGCGATCAAAGTGCGCGCGAGGCCACGCGGAAGGGAGCCACGTGGGCGATCCGCGTGCGCGCGATTGAACGGTTGAGATCCGTTCCCACACGCACGAATGGCCCAGATCAAAAGCGCGCA